ATTTCAAGTGCACAAGCGACCCAAATTTCAAGTGTACAAGCGACAGCTCGCCCACCAAGAAGGCCCTTGGTGGTACACTCAAACGCTCCAGCTTCAAAAGCTCCATTGGAGCCACTCTGTGCAAGCGCAAGTTTGGAGGTGGAGGTCTGAAGGATGAAGGATGGAGATCTTGTGACCATGCCCCAGCTGATCTGCAGCACTGACGATGTTTGGTCGAAGCACGCAGCATGAAATCAATCAAGCCACAAGGTGTCCACTGGGGCTTCCGGCTGGCGCCAACTCCCGAAAATCCACCCGCACTCCACCTCAGTCAGAAGCCAAACCCCTTCAATCCACTTCCAGTCTTCCATCCACTTCTCTCCTTCAGGTAGTGGATGGTAAGACTCCTCAAGCTTTTGGTCTTCTTGGTCTTCTTCTCTTCGCGAACTCGACCGCACTCCCGAGGCCAGGGCTTGGATACTGGATGCCTCAGGTAGCAAACCCCAAATCTGACGCCCCCTGACCGAAGTAGCAGAGCGTCAGATGGGCTGGGCACCCCCACTGTGGGCGTGGCTCTGGGGACGGTAGCCTCGAACATATTCCTGACCGGGCTGCCACGAGTGCTACTCAGATCTGCTGGCTGCAAACACTCAGTGCCACTGCACTTGGCTGTTCCATGTGCCGCCTCCGCCTCGACCATGGAGCTGCTTTTCAGCCGCACCTCAGAGCAAAGGTGTGCTAATGGAGTGCAAAACCGTATATAGATCCTTAGAGAACAAGTACACGGTGTGTAAGCAATGTCTGCGCAGTGCGCAGTTCTGCTTAGCACCCTGCTTTGGAAGCTGTTGCTGGCTCCGGCATCGCCGACGAGGTCCTTAGTGCAAGAGAGACTTGCCGTGCCTTGCCTACCCTTGACTGCTCGAATCTGTTTGCCTATGTCTAGAAGATGTCACTGCGAAGGAGGACAAAGAAGCCAATGTTTGTGGTTCTCAACACCAACCAGGTTTCCAGGGAACTGATCGAAGGACGTGTTTGCGCCCGAGATGAATCTTCACTGAGCCTCCAGCTTGGACTCATGCGCACTGCCCTGGTCGCATGAACACTGGCAGCATTGGGGAGCCACATTTGGACCATCATTCTTTGATCTTTGCATGGCACTGGTGCTTTTTGCATATAATCATATATACAATACCTTGGCATTCTGCCCATCAATACCTAGGCCCTCGAAAAAGCCGACGTCTCCAAGCTTTGCCTGTGTGGCTATCGACAGCATCTGGTTGATATCCGCTTCCGGCCTGACTGGAAACAAAGAAAAAGCAGTGCCCCGCACCCCGGGTCAAGGGAAGCAACAAGCAAACACACGGAGGGATATTGATACCTGCAAGCGATATCAAATGATCTCTGTTTGCGGATGAACGAACGGCACATGGGTGGAGCAGACATGGGTGGGTGCGACAAGCCAATCCTGGCTGTTGTCACCGAGCATCGGCAGGTATGTGTATGACAGGTTATTCCAGTACTCGAACTACGGACCAAATGGGAGATTATCAAAACGCATGGCATTCTAGAGTTGATTCGAAGTGGACATGAGCATGGGCGGACATTCTTTGGAAACTTGAGATCCACTGCTGACAGACCGTGCGATGTTGCAGCATCTTTCAGCACTTATCTTGATTTGGAACCCCAAAGAAAAAGTGCGTGCCGTGTGCCCATGAGGGGCTACGGCTACAGGGTCTGTGAGCACTGAAGTTACGTACAGACTTTTTAAGCTCGAGACTCGTCCAGGCTCTTCAAATTCAGCGCCTGGATGGAGGTCCAAAAGCATTGGCCTTTTGGACAAAGCCTTTTGCGAATTCCGCTGCTGTAATGTGTACTGTAACAAGCAAGTGAAAGAGTTGCAGACAGAAGACATGCTCTTCATCAAATCTCTGGTGCACTCACATGTGTGCAGAATTGGAATGCAACACCGCCGTTTCACAAACCGCAGGCTTGCCAAGGTATGTCTTGACAATCATCCCCTCCAAGTCACCCAGCATTCTCGTTCAGTGAATCCGAAGGTGCTTCTCGTCGCTGGTGAGTCAGAGGCTTCGTTCCGTCTCAAACCCCCCAAACACCGGTGGAAGCGAGGAAGCGCCCAGCGGAACAGTCCAGGTGCCCCGGCCAAGCCACTGGACTGAAGGGTGTGAAGGATCTCTTGGTCCTGCTTTGCACTGATGCCTGAGCACGCCACCAAAAAGGCAGGGTGGACTGGTCACCCCCCCACTACTTCCGAGAGTCCGAACACTCCGCCGATGAACCCCGAATAGGTGACGGGAAACGTGTGACCGAACGTGACGAATATGGACCAACAAGAAGCCAACATTTGGGGAATTTTGGGTGTGCTTTTGCACACCAATTGCGGGGAAACCATTTGGCACAACCACGTGTGCACCATGCTTTTGCTGATCTCTCAAATTCAACCACGCACTCCAATCGAGGAAGCTGGAAGCCAAAAAACACACAGAGTTCCGTCCACCACCAGCCTCCCTATTCCGTCTGACTCGAGCCTGCTAGATGCTTGAGGCCTCGAACCAGAGAAGCAAAAAATGCATGGCGCACATGGACAGCGAGCATGGACAGCGAGGCCAAGCTCACACCACGTCTGGGTCTCCCGAGCTGGTCACGGGCTCTGGCATGCTCAGAGGCATGGCCCCGCCACTTCCGGGAGACCTCCAATGGAATTCCGGAAAATCCGTTGGGGGATGGCCTTTGAGCTTCCGGGAAGGAATGGATTCTTCCAAGCGAAACGGGTTTGCAACAGGTAACTGGCAAGTTCACCCAAGGCTCACAAGGAACATGAAGGAACATGAAGGAACCCAAGGCCGCGACGGGCCAAAGCCACAAGGCAACGCCTTGCACAAAGCGGAAAGAGTTTGTCAACATCCCAATGGTCAGATTGAAGCACAGGGATCGGAACACAAGAGCCTTGTGCATACTTGTGGTGCCACAATGTGTATCTGAAAGTATCCTAACATGCATTGTGCGCGCGCTGAAATCTTACACCCATCTCAAAGCACCTCGGAGCTTCCAAGAGTTGCACAGAGCGGGTCACCTGCACTGTGTCCTGGAAGAGTTTTACGACACATTACGACACTCTGTGGTCTTTCGGAAGTCGCCTCAGAAAGTTTGATTTCCGGCCCAGCCCACGGGGCCGACATGTCCCAGAGCTTCGAAACCCTAAACCCTGAAAAATGCCCACTCCTCCCATCATGGGCTCGATCACAGGCGGTTCCAGGTAGGTCCGCAACGGCTCAGGTTGGGCCTACAGCCGCTTCCAACCCTCATTCACTCCAAAAGGGCTCCGTCTACACATTGATTTGCATCTTCTGAAAACATTTCAGATGCCACAGTGACAGTTCAAGGGTCAAAACCCCCAAAAAAAACTCCTGCCACATAGAAAACGGTAAAAACCAAGAAACTTCCTGGAACTTCAAGACACACCAATCCAAAAAAATCGGTTGGAGGCCATCGCTCTTAGGTTGGAGGCCATCGCTAGTACTCATCGAGTCGCAGCAACCCATCTGTCGACCGGAGTTCGTTGCTGTTCTTTCTGGGCGCTCCAGTCGATGCCCTTGGGAGGCGCCAAGCCTTTGGGCGCCAACAAGTTCGGCCTCAGAAGACTTGAGCAACCCTCAAAATCAATGTGCAAAATTGCTTAACCCTTCATGCATCGGTGTGTGTGTGTTGATTCTTTTCGGCAGCGTTTTACAAGTACTGGCGCCAGTCAGCGTACTACGTCCTGTGTTAGCTTACCGCCTTAATGTTCAATGTTATATAAGCACAGCGCCACATCATCATTCAAGACTGCTCGGCAGAATCAATTCCAATCTCTTGTCTGGGGCATTTGGGCCATTGTCTACTAAGCCCTCTTTTCATGTGTGTTGGCTTTTTCTGGGGGGATTGTGAAAGATTATCCTCCTGCACCGTGACACAAATACCCACTTTTAAGGCTCTCCCCACTGAGCAGCGATGGTCAAAGGGGTTGATTGACCAAGAACATAAGTCCGGCTGATGGAGACACCCGAACAACTAGACCAGGTCAAACTCAAATATATGTAAAGGAACACATCAACTTGTTCAATACTGTGCTTTTCCATGAGATTGCCCACACAAAGTGCATCCGCCCCAAAATCATTCGGAGCCGTCACTACGGAACTCCTCCTGCTCAAACGGATCGGGCGACAACTGCTCCATGACCCTCAGATCAGACGATGAGGAGTCCATCTTAGAGTATTGATAGCTATCGACGTGGCATGTGATGACCCTGGACAACACGATTTCGGCAAGCCACGGGCCGAAAGGCAGCTTCAAAGTTCCACGGATTCCCAACCAAGCAAAAAAAACACAACAACGTAGGACAGGTGATAAGAAGTCTCCACTGCCAAAATCAAGTGTGAGGTCGTAGCAGGCAACATATTCCAAAAGAACCACACTGGAGCAACAATTTTTGCCATAGCATTTAGCATGAAACATCTTTCATCAGCGGAGCGTCTCCAAAGAAGAGTCAAGAAGCTGAGCCTGGCAATAAGACAAATTACTTGTAGAAACAAGTTGAACCAGTCGATGCAAGTCCCTCGATTGTCAGGTGCACAAAACACAACAGTGTGCCTGGCCAAAGCTCAAAAACTCTCAATCACGAAAGGGCCAAGCACAATGAGAGGGATTGCCAACTGGACAACTCCTGAATGCCTGAGCACGACCCCGTGCATGTGTGCATCTCGCAGTGCATCTGATGTCATACCAGCTTTCAACAGTACTTCAATTACTTTGTCAACTTTGTCGACTTGATTGCCGATTTCACTCCGAGTGTTCATCTCATCCTGGATTTGGGAACAGGATGCCTGACGAATTGACCCTTGATACTGGTTTTCCAGCAGCTCCGCTTCTCGCGCTGCTATGTGCAAGTTGACCCGGTCCAATCCGGCAAGCATGAAATAGAAAATCAGCATGCTACGCAAGGAATATTGTACTGTCCTATCGTCTTCTGGAAGCAAAGGTTCAACCTTGACAAAAGAATTTAAGGATCTAATCAGGCAGGCAAGACAAGCTGCCAGCCAACATGGTTCACAATCAACCATTAATTGGTTAATTGGTTGTGACCAGTGTTTTGGCTCAGCAAGCTGGCCAGGAGCGTTAACGCTCTCGTTACCCTTGTCAACAATATGGCAGTCTTGAAATCCCCAACTCTAACAATCAGATAATCACACCAACAATGATACCTACCTACCAGAAGCGCTGGAAACATCAGAAGCCAAGCCAGCAGCACTTGGGGCCAAATCGGAGGCTTTGCCGGCGTTGCCGCCTGAATAAGTTTGTCGACTTGAAACGCCAAGTATGCTTCGTATCCACACCACAACCTTGTGTAGACACTTGCGTTCCGGTTAGGCACCACCAACAAAAACTTGGAGCTCCTCAAGGCAAGTGCAAAAGGCGATAATATGTATGGGGCACCGAATCATTGCGGAAATATTCAAATTCTGGGGATTTGCAAGCATGCAGCACCAAGCATGACGCGCACTCCAAGGCCAAGATGTCACCTTTTTGCGTAAATTCAAGAACGCTTTCCTGCCAAGCATGAGTAATGAAGAGATCGCAGTCAAGTCCATCCGGATTCATCATCAATGCCCAGCTCATTTTGCCAGCAGCGGCGGTGACTGGTTTGATGTACTCTTCATTGACTGCATAAATACTGGGCCCAAGCGAAACGTCAAAGTTCTCCTGAAAAGTTAGGCCACCTTGAATAGCTCTTTGGACCTCAGACTCGAAGAACTTGAGGTCAAAGTAAGTGATGCACCGTCTATCTGGGTTCACAGTTTCATGCAATCTGACGGCTTGTTGTGTGGAAATTCGATGTCGCCTGCTTTCCCACCACTGCGACGGTGACAAGATGTGCATTGGAAGGAGACACCTGACAGAGTCTTTGGAGCTACTTCCTTGAACAGCTTGACCCCGAAGACGTGAAAATCGATCAAAGAGGTCCAGGGAGGGCTTTCGCCCTTGTTTCTCTTGATGAGTGCCGTTCAAGATCCCTCATTCGGACAATTTAGATGGCCCACCAGCTAAAGCGCTCTCCATGGTTTTGTGGAGGGATGTGGAAAGTGTGGAGTGTCAGGAAACCTAAAAACATTCATCCAAATCACTCTATGAAAAAGATATTTATATTTGACTTGACTTTGACTTGCACGGAGATGCCTACAAATCACAACTTAGGATCCTAAAAACACTGCTGTGGGGTGCTTGAGGTGGTCTTACCTAGTCAGTTTCTACCTTCCCGCATCAGAATGCACTTGCTTAAATGGATCAAGCAATTTGGGGTTCCCATGCTTGCACCCACAAGCCCACATCTTAGACTCTTAGACCAAGTGGCATTACGGCGGCAGGGTCACTCTGGCGCATTGGTGCCGTCCTCAGCATTGGGAGTTCAGACTTAGGAAGCACAGAAAGAGGCCTTGAAATGCCTGCGTCCTCCAAACTGAAGTGTTCCATTTGTCAGACTCTGGTCATCCAGAGTAGCGACTCAATTGCGGCCCAAGTAACGGTGCCCAGGGCTGCAAGTTTGGCATGCCCAGCGGTGGCAGTTGCACTGGCTGCAGATTGAAAGTGGGATACCTTGGACAAACAGTAATAGCCATTATAGACCAGAAGAGAGGAAATGAAAAGAATCTTGAATATGTTGGATCCTAGACCATGCCTATGACATATGAGTCATATGAGTATGCAAGCACAGCCACCCAATCGTTACACCCCATTACCCCGTTCGCATGGGGCAGCTGCTAGCATAGGAAAAGCTTCTCGCTTTCGTGGAATGCGGAGCCAAACAGAATGAGCTACAGACCTCACCGAAGCTTGCAACCCTTGTCACAGCTCATGAGCCTCAAACCTCCAAGAATGCTGAGAAACAATCACTGTAAATAGAAAGTAAAAAAGCGAGCAGGACCTCTCACTGGATGAACTGATTTCACCTCTCCAACTCTCTCCCATCGGCCGCCCAGCTTGGAAAAGGCACCTGTTCAGGGGTGTGTTCGGGGCATTCTCTGTCCAGGCACTGTGGACAGCTCCAGCTCGGCTCCGGTGGCGCCCAGCTCGGCTCCGAGGCCGCCCAGCTCGGCGGCGCGCCCGGCGTGACCCTCGGGGCGATGGGCATCGGGGATCGGCCCATCCGATGCCCGGGAGAGCGAAGGGACAGGACATCTTGTGACGTTGATGCTCTCATCTCAATTGAGCGTTCAGCCAGGTTCCTCCCTCACTACCTACTGAAGTGTTTACCAAGATGTCCTACTTGGGTCTTACCTTCCAAACTCTTCCTGTCAGGCGTCATGGATGGCTGCTGCAGCTGCTGATACAGCTCTTGTCCCCGCATCTGCTGCAGCCGAAGCTGGAGCTGCTGTTGCCTCGGATAGACTCTGCAATCGGGATCAATCCTTGTCCCTGTGGTTGTGGTGTCAAATTCCGGGACGCTGGTGGACCAAATGAGCAAAATGTTCAAGAATACATGTTTGAGTTAGTTTGGGGTCTGCATTTTCTCACAAAGTGCACTTTACGTCTTAAGCTGAACATTCTCGCATCAAGGCTGCAAGGGCACCAACTTAACACCAACTGCACCAGTTTGGGCGCGGTCAGTCGTAACGTCTTCGGGGGGGCCGTGAACACATATCTATCTCTCAAATCGTTTCCGTCAACAAGCCTAATGTAGGCTCTTGATTAGGATGGTAAAACCCAATTCATATGGGGGCTTGAAATATCAAGAGTCGACATTGAACCTCAGCTTCGCTTCAAGGATCCTGGAGATGATCTTTGGGGAGATGAGTCTTCTTGGGACTTGCATTCGTGGAGTGGTCAGACATCGAAAAGTGGATCCCACTCGCTTGCTCCCAAAGCCCGCGAACAAAGTGCAGAATCGATCAAGTGACCATGTGGCCAAGAACACCAACAGCACCAAAGGAGTCCCTCGCTTACACTCAGCTTCGTCTCTGAGTTCCCGTGCTCCTTTTGAGCCTGTCTCTGCAACTCCTCAAAAAGCACTCCACGACCGGAAGGAACTGTGCTTCGACGCCAGCACAACCAGCATGCAGCATGATTCATGCAGTCTCAATTTCTCATTCGTGTAGTGTAGATAACATAGATAGGGATGATTCCAAGAGTGCATTCTGATTCTAGGAGCAAGGAAGCTACTAGGGGCTCCTGGCTGTACTACTAGGAGCAAGGATGCTACTAGGAGCAAAGGGATCGCGACTAGGAGCAAGGACGCTACTATTGAAGGCCCTCGTGCATCTTTCGGGGCTCCACAGGGCTTTTTTACGGAGCTCCACAGGGCTTTTTTACGGAGCTCCGTCCTGGAGCCGACTGGCGCACGCATCGGCCCCGTGGACATCCAGAGGCGGAATCGCTACAACCTGGAATGTGCACCGAAAATCCGTGTGGCTTGGGAGCTCGGAAGCACAGTAAGAAGTTATAGAAGTTATATCAGTCCCCAGTCCCCGTGTGATTCTTGTGCGATTCATCAAAGACCTGTTGCATCCCAGGGTTGCAAGCAGTCAATTGACAACAGCCAATTGCCATGAATTGAAGTGATCCACTCACCCTTCAAGAAAAAAGAAAGAAAAATAGTGTTTCATTCAATGTCAATGTGTTTTCCTTTTTACTGTCTGTTCTATGTCTTTTCTTCAAGAATTATCAGACATGTTTGGTGATGTTTGGTGTGTTCACTCAGCGTCACTGGTTCGTTTTCTTCTCTGCTCGATTCGTTTCACCCGTTCTCGTCCGGGCTCGTCCGGTGTGAACGCGAACGTATGAGAACTCGTCCGGCTTCCGGGCCATCTTCCCAACAACCCGATGGTGGGCGGCCCATCGGGTCATACGCAGCAAGTGCATCGCTACGAACGTAGCTATTCACTACTAGTAGTAATGCCCATTGTTACTAGTAGCGCTGCCCTTGTTACTTCTAGCAAGGACGCTACCAGGCCTTGACCTCAGGCACGGTCACCTCATGAACCGCCTCAGCGCGGTTAGGGGGCCTCTGAGATTCTCCTCGTCTTAGCGAGAAGCCCCAGGTGATGGTGAAGTGAGTGATCAAACCCATTGGATAGGAAAACCTCCCTGAGGCAAACCATGGCAAACCCAAGAATGGAGGCCAAAAAGAGGCCGGCAGGTTCACAGCAAGCAAATCATGCAACTAGTAGCGTCCTTGCTCTTAGTAGCGATGCCAGGAGCCCCTAGTAGCGTCCTTGTTCCTAGTAGTATCGAGGTTGCATTCTTGGAGTAGAGTCACCTGCATGTTCTGTTTGTTTGGGGTGAAATCTGCGATCTGGCTTCCGATCTGGCTTGGAGTCCGGTTGGAACCCTTTAGTCATACGATCTTCATTTCGGAGCTGGCACGTTGCTCTCAGCCTACTTCTACTTTTTGGGAAACTAGGAGCTTGTGGATTCTTCAGAAATGGGAAGGTATGAATCCACCACCTGGCTTATCTTGCGGATAGAAGATGTGAAACACTGGTTGAGTCCCCGCGCATCTCGCGGCACTATGCGCGGCGCCTTTCTCCACACAGGCATTGTGAGGCCAGGGACTTCTTCCCCTTTTTGGCTCATTTGGCGGTCCCGGAATCATCTTTCTTTGGAACCTTGTGTCACACACGTGTAAAGCATCAATCTTAAGCCACTCTAGATGACGTGGAAAATGTTGAAGAACTGCTGCATTCATGTCATGTTGTTGACCTCTCATGAAAATGTATCAAGAATCTTACCTTTGCTCCCTTTTCAAAGCCCCGAAGGTTGCCAATTCGAGTTCGCTTCCGGTGTGTTTGCCAAACTCTCGATTCATTGATGTTTTTGTTTGGACCACGGTATGATATAGTAATACAAAAAAAAGGAAACAGACATGTAACGTGTGGCTTCAAGCTGTTTAACTTCTTGAGAAGTTCCCAGTTACAAATGATTTTCAAAGTCATCTGTTCAGACTGCTTCAGACGTTTGGCTTCAACCCATCCGGTCAGTGAACCGCCACAACCAGGGGCCTCTAACTCAGGCACCTCCTCCGCCTCAGCGTCCAAGAAAGGTTACAGAAACGGGAGACCCCCACTGT